AGTCAGGCTCAACATTCTCCTGTTTGACTTTATTTGATGGAGCTTTCAGTTCTCCACGACTTTACTGCTTTCTCTATTACAGCTCATGAAGTTCTATAACATTTGGGTATGTGGTCTTCCATGGCAGCTCTTATCCCCATAAATCATGCACATATGCGGTCTCTTCAGTGGGCTCTTCATGGCTAGTGGAATTTTGCAGAGATCCTTAGAAGGCTCCTCCTTCCCTTGATGGCAATCTGCATTAGGTGGTTGGACAAGACTCGCATGTCGGATTATAGACACAATACAGGCTGAAGTGTGTGCTTATTTTAAACCAGACTGGGTTTGACCAACTAAGGAAAATATAGTTAACTGCACTGAGATACCAAAATAAAAGAAATATATTATAAAATTGCTAAATTCATAATTTTGTTGTTGTTTTTTTAATTCAAGAAGATCACAATTCGAGCTAACAACTACATGATCTGACAAAAAGTGTTAGCTCATAATGCCATCTTTCTTAATAAATAAAGCTCATGGAAAGCAAAGCCACTGGAAAACAAGAGGGTTGACAGACCACTCTGTCAGATAGACTTTGTCTAGACAGGAAAGCCGATCTGAAACAAGATTGAAAGCACCCAAAACATGACATGCAATGATAAAAATATCTAGCATGTGAGCCCAAAAATGAAGATACAAAGTATGAAACAAGAGTATCAAGAATGGGAGCCACTTTGGTGATTGAGATAAGCAACCATTGTAGAATTGTTAGAATGAATCATTACCAGATGAGTCCTAGCCAGAAGGAGAAAATGATTCAAAGCACGACATACAGCCCTACGCTCCTGGATGTTTATATGATAATACCTCTCAGCTGCAGACGAACATGCCAAAGCTTCCTGTTGATCAACCCATGCTTCCCAGCCCTGAAGGGACGCATCTGTGAATCCAGAAAAAGGAGGAGGAAATGGGACACACACAAAGCTGATGTTTCTAAAGGATTTCAACTTTAGATCTAAATAGGCTGTTTTTTGTTGTTGTTGTTGTTTATACACACTCATTGTATTCCTAGTATGAAACTCAACAGAAATGGTACTGTAGGCCCAAGGAAAATAAGTTGTGTTTCACCATATTTTAAGAATATATTAATGTAAACAAGAAAACATATTTGTGCAACAGTTCTAACACTACATTATATTTTGGCAAAATAAAAATAAACTTATATTCAAATTAATTAGTTAATATTTCCACTTATCACATTTTTCTAAGCACTTACTATAAATGTTTTGTTTACTATTTTTGGAAACTCCATTTACCAAACCATTACTAAAAGTAAGCTTTAATTATTATGTATGATTTTATTGTCCTATTTTGGGAAAAAAGAAAACAAATTACACTACTTTTGTATGGAGTGCTATTATCTTTGGCTCTACTGCTCTTCAGTCTGCTTTGGTAAATAGCTTGCCTAATTTGAACATATGGAAGTTTTTTCATCTTCCAGGTAAGACTGTATGGTATTGTGAACAAGACTATAGAGTTGATAAGACATGGAATACTGGCAATAATACTTTAATCAGGTCAGATGAAGAACTGTCAAACTCTTACACTAAAACAGGTTGCATTCATTGTTCATTGCTGGATTTCTTTCTTGCAGTATTTTTTTTTACCACTGGACAACACTAATATTAACTTTAGAGTGTCCTTCTCTGAACTATGCAATTGGAAACTTTAAACCCAAGCATACAAAGTAAAAGAGAAGTAACAAAATTACTTATCATCATAATCCATAATAAAGTAACCTTTTATATATATTTATTTATTAACACCATTTGAACCATCACTTTGTACCTTTGTGCCATATCGGTCATTATTTTTATTGCCTTTGCACCTTTCTAGCAGTATAAATTTTTGTCGGAGTATTATAAACAGGTATACTAAATTTAACATTGATTGCTATTTCTGTTAGTCTACCAAAAATCTGAATACTTTTTTTCTCATGGAGAAATTATCTCATCATTACTGTAAGTGTAAGAAAATAGCTGCACACACACATACACAGTTTGAGGAGAAGGATTTGGTCAGAACCTGAAGATTTTACTGTAAAGGAACATTCTCATGTCAGCTATTTCCTACCTTAAATTTCAATCAATCACCAATATGATGACATGAAAAATGTTGAAGAAATGTTAACATAGTCTTGTTGGAGTGCCACATCATATTCAATGTACATAAAAAAGTATCTTCTGTGTGCTATCTTTGATGCCATTGTTACATTCACTAAGAAGTGTGTGTGTGTGTGTGTTGTTTTTATTCACTGCTGTAGAGGAATAGTAAGGCAGTTGTTTTGGAGTACATGGCTCAAAGATTTCAGAAATTCTGTTGACATATTACTTCACATATTTTCATCAGTAATGTTATGAGTGACCTTAAAAAGTAATTTATGAAGAGAGAATATTAACTTAATCAGGATCAACATTACCATTAAAAAGGAAAAAAATATGTTTAATAAAATTTCTTGTGATTTCATTTGATCTTCAGCATTTTTTTTAAATGATTAGAAAACAAGTGGTTAAGATAATAAAGTTTGCAATGAAAAATTACAAATATTATAAATAAATGAATTTGAAGTACACTAAAGACTGCATCACAATATGGAAGCTGCAAGGCTGCCTATGTTAGTAAAATGTTACATATTGTTAATGAACATTCGAAACCAGCCAAGCATTATGATCTCCTTTACTAGTGGGCCAGCCACATAATTTATAAAATGTTTTGAGGACATTTATTGTTAAAAGTGGTCACTCATGCTAAATAAACTTTAAAGTGGATAAGAATTAAGGTACAGGCGGATGACATACTTACTTTTGACATTTAAAATATAATTTTCAAGGTCATAAAGGTCAATGGGTTCAAATTGGAAAATATTGGAATTTTTCCAGAATTATCATTTGTTTGTGCATAACTTAAAAAAACTAACTTCACTATATTTAGAAGACCAACAACATACATTAATGAGTGATAAACATTTAAATTTGCCTTGATATATATATATCAGAAATAAGAACAGAAAATACATTTTTCTCAAAATCACATTATCAACATTATGTTTTTACCTAATCTTTACTTCAGTTCAACTTTTGCACATAGTTTGGCCTTCTGGCACATATTCCTGAAAAATGGCCCATATCAGTATGATGAAAAGGTGAAGTAGCAAATTAAGTTAAAGTCCTACATATAAATATTGTTTGACAGTCATCTGCTCAAGTGTGCTCTTCATACCACATTTTGTGTAACATAATGTATTATCACAGGTGACTTCTATGTATGTATGTTATTTTCAAAAGATCAAGCTGGATAGCAACATATTAATCTATGATATATACAAGTTGTCTACTAATCTACAGGGCTACAACGCATCACAGCTGCGAACAGAAATGCACCTCATATCTTTTTTTTTTTAATTTGTCTTGCAGCCATGTTCGCTCAATTCCAGACAGGCGCCTGAGACAGAAGGTTCTGGTCCTCTGTGCAGAATCACCTTCTGAATGCAGTAGGTGTTCTTTCCACAGTCATTTCCAGCACATTAGTATTGTCACATCAACAGTGAATCATAAACCCATTGATAATGTTGTCTGGACTGTACACATAAATTTTTTTCATATTTCTCAAGATTTTTTTGGTTATTATAATGTCAGTTTTCTGAACACTATCAATACCAATAGTATGGTTAGCTGCATGAGACATCTAGAGTAATGCCTTGGATCTACACAAAGAAAGAAAAATGTTGTCTATTTAGTTTATTCTTTGCTTTACTTCCACTGCAAACTTGATTATTGGGTAATGTAAATTTTGATTTCATTTTCAGTATAATGTTCAGGTATTTTTTAGTTCCAACTTGATTCTTATTAATATGTTTCTTTTTTTTAAGTTTAGTTTGACTTTTATAATTTATTTTATTTTCTAAGTTCTATTATTTTAAAGATGTATAAAGATCAAATGTTATGGTGTTAAATAGAATTGGATAATTACTGGAATCTGCTAACTGATTAATTGTCTAGCTTATTAATCCATAATTCTAACATGAGACTTAGATAGTTGAAATAATTGAAAATTTTGATTAGTTGATTATTTTCATGTGGAATGACATTAATTAACAAAACTGAACAACCTTGAATTAGTTGAAAATAATTATGAGAAATCTTAATGGCAATATTTCAGTTACTTGGATAGTTGGAAGAAACTAAAAACAGTAATAATAACATAACATAATATTTTGGGACAACATGGGACCTATTGGTCCATCTCAGCTGTTCCATCCTCAAAACTATATTAAAATGATTAAAATAAAATAAAGTTAAACCCAACCCTTATTTCGATTAATCTGGTATTTTATGTGACACAAATTGATGTAATCGGTGCACATAGGTTACCAATTAATCAATTAATGGAAACTTACAAAACAGTAAACCTAATAATCATGATAAAAATCACACTAGCCTGTAGATGTTTTTTTCACATTCCTCTTAATTAATACTTAATGAATATCACAGCAGAGGTGTATAAAAATAATACTTTAAACATATCTTTTGTATACCACAATTCTCACACAAATGCTTGATTTGCTACTGAAATTTATCCTTTTAAATAATGATTTTTTTACCAAAATAACTTACCTTTTGTAATATTTTTCAAACTGTGGAGAGGTGTATTATGAAATAATAAAAGGTTTGATTCAATTTTATGGCTTCTATTCTATTAAAGTCTTTATAAAACTTTAAAGAAAAATGTTTTGGAATACATATTGACATGTTACTAACAACAGTGCTTATTATTTTAATGAAAACTATTTAAAACAATTCAAATAATGGTTAAATTAGAAATACATTTCATCCATCTTGAAACCTTTCAAAATTTACAAAGAAGTACAAATAATGGCCAATTGATCTAACTAAAATATTATTTTATATTTTTACAACTTTTTAGATGTATTACATTTATTGATAAAATTGTAAATTTTTCAGCAAAATGATATTAGAGGAATCCCTTCCATATCTGATGCCTGAATGTTTTGTTGACAAAGTTTGCTTTGTGGCAATGAACTGTAAGTAAGACTCTGCTTTAAACTCTATTATTAAATTAATTTCATCATTCTTGGTAGGAAAACTTAATTTATTTGTTATGTTCTCAAAACAGAAATCTTTTTATTAAGGTTATTTATAGAAAATATCAGTAATCTAGGTTGCTTTTATAACAGTTTGTTCTTGTTGTTGCGTGATAAGCCTTTTAAATAGTACTTGGCTTTTGGTGACAATTTGCACAACTCCCCCCCCCCCCTTACCACACACACATGGTGAAGGTTTATGATGCTAAAAACTGGGTTTTGATACCCGTAGTGGGCACAACACATCACAGATAGCCCACTGTATTGTTTTATGCTTAACTGCAAACAAATAACTTGAGGAAATTTACATAAGAGTCACAGAACAAGACTCAAAGTACATAAAACAAAAACATTTATTTATAATATATAAAAATAGCAATTACTAAAATTAATGCTCATTACTTTGTAAAAAAGAATTAAGTAATCTCAGTACTTTTGCTCATGAACACTACTTTAATCAACTTTTTATTTCTTTTCAGTTCCTTAAAACATTGTTAATTACATTCTACAAGTTTATATCATAAGTAAATTATTTATGGAATAAATGAATCTTGTTCCATTAAAGTAAGTAACATAAAGCATGGCAAGATCTGGATGAGACTGGTGCAAGATCTAATAAGAGTAGAATGTGAGTTGAGTGTAACTATTTAGTCAAATGACACATATTATCTAGTACGGTTATTTCCAGTTTAAAGTTATTCTGATAATGCTTGGATAATATTAAAGTTTTTTTTCATTACCCATTCAAGCATTATTAGTCTCAAAGTGGGTTCTTTGTCATCAAAATTTAGTTTTGGTTCTGTTTCTAAGAAATTTATAAGACTTTCTATCATGCATTTATACTGTAACTTATTTTAACTTGTGCTGTATTCTTGATGACATGTCCACTGCATGACATTTTTATATGGTTCTTGGGACTGTTCATTTTAGACTAATGGGTTCTCCCCAGACAACAGTCTCCTTGCTTTGAGCTTTGTCAGCTATCATAGCATGCTTTTTCCTGGTAATCTTCTTACAGTACTGTTAAAACAATATTTTGTATGCAGTGCATTCTCTAGCATATACATCTACTTTGAACACTAGATTAGATGACTAATTCTAAACTTTACTAGTTGCTTCATTCAATTACAGATGTAGGTCTTCAACTATTTAGGCTGCATTTGGTGTACTGTATTTAGTGTTCATTCCTTTGTGTTAGGAAGGATGTTGAGTTGCTCTAAATTTCATAACTTGTTCTGTTTTGTAAAAGGAATGATCAGAGGTGGTCTTATTAAGATTTTCAGAACTATTAACAGTTGAAACATCATATGTTTTGGTTTTGAATTCTGAGAACAAGAGATCATAGATTTAGTATTTGGAAACATCACACACATCTGTAGTTAAGTTTAGTAGAATGGTAACTCTGTGGAATAAATTGCCATCTAGGGTGATATCGGTCTATAATTGTACAGGAGTTTCAAAAAAAAGAAGACTGTTTAGGAGGCAAGAGCTGATTTTAGTGCTTATTTTATTTCATGAAAAAGGTTGTGAATCAGGACATCGTTGGTGGGACTGAAAGCCCTTTGTTGCCCACTAATTTATAAAAATTAAAATTGTTATACTCACGCATTCAACAAAAATTATAAATATTTTTTGTTAAGAGGGCCTTATTGTTAGATATACATGAATGTTAATTTTAAGTTTCATATGAGAGTTATGATTTAGATAGTTATAAAGCAAGAGTGTTAAATTTAATATTTTTAGAGGCAATGGTTTCTTGCAGGTTTATTTGCATAACTGTGTACAAGTCATACATTGTGTAATTCACTAGACAGTGATTGTTTTATTTTGGTGTCATATTACTTCTGAATTTTTCTCATTGCTTTAAGTATTGTTACATCATAATGTCTTGTAGTTTGTAGAAAGTACTAGGCCTAAGGCATGCAATATATATATAGGCAACCAAGTTAATAGAAGTAAGTTAGTGAAAGTAAAAGTGAAGTTGGGTGATCTTGAGTTTAACCATGAAGTATGTATTGTGTAAAGTGTAATAATCACAGATTGTATTGTCATAACAGAGTAGAGAAGAATAATTTGTCTTGTCAATTGGGTTCTAAAGTAATTTAACCAGCCTGTATGGACTTTTGACATAAAGAAGAATTATTTAAAGCTCTGTATACACCTGTGGTAACCCATGGGATAACATAAGTGAATTTATCACTGATTGTGTTGTGATAACAGAGTAGAGGAGAATAATTTGTCTTGTGCTGTACAGTAAACATATAAGGTTTTGTTTCTCTGTTTTGAATATTCACCGAAAGCTATAGAAGGACTTCTGCACTAGCCTTCACTGATTTTGAATGGATAGAGTGGAATAAAGCCATTTAGTCAATAGCACCCACCATTAACTCTTGAGCTACCCTAATTGGATAATAGGGTTTGACTGTCACTGTTTTAATGCACCCAAGCAGAAGACAATTTTGTGGCAATGGTATGCATGTCATGGTCCCATGGATTCACAGTGAAGCAAACTAACCACTGGGAAATCCCATCTAATACAGAAGTTGAGAACATTATATTAAAACAATTTTAAAGCCTCACTACATTGTTGCAATCCCTGTTGCCACATGTGGTCATGTTGTATCTGATGGCCATACATCTTGATAATAGTTTTGCAACTTAGTGTCCTTTGTAGAAGCTCCACCTTTAGACTATCATGTCCAAAGCACACCTCATAATTGCAACTTGTTTTCATAATCCATGTAGGATACAAGAATAATGGTTTCACAGCACCTATTTAACACTCTTGCTACGGGCTTGGTTGAATCTACCAAGTTTGTGACCTCAAATTGACCTTTATAGTTTCCATACTATACCTTTTAATATGTTTTATGTACTTTCATGAAATTTTGCAAGCTTTCAGTAAGCATTAAGAGAGCGAAAAATCAAATTTTTAATGAAGTATTTTCACTAAAAATGTCTCCATGAATATATACAGATTAATAGTGTTGACTGCTTCAAGTGCAAAGTGATTTTCATGTTGAGATCAAAAATATTTTTCTTCATCTGAAAATTGTGAGATTTCATTTGCATAAGCTCTAAAACCTCCTAAATAAATTCCAAAGGGTTTTAATTTTTAATAAAACTTTATATTTTATCTATTATTTTCTCTTCTCTAACTCTATATGAGGTTAGTCAATTTGACCAATCTTGTAACCACTATAAAAAAAAAATATGAAATAAATCTAAATTACCCTTGTGTTTCTTTCTAGAATGACTTCAAATTGTAACATGATACTGCATTTGTTTATCCTAAATAGCTTAAAACTTGTAACAATATACATCTGTTTCTACTTAAATTTTATTGTTTTATTGCCATTTGAACTGTGTCTAACTAATAATTCCACCACACAAGTTGTAAGTCACTTGACAAATGTGTAGCTCACGTTACTTTATTAAATTATGTGAGGCATGGGCTACTTGAAAGTGTACCTTGTGAAATTTTTTATTATTATTATCTTTCTTTATTTTAACATCTAACTGTATCTAAGTTAAAAATTTATAATTTTTACATTGTAGACTTTTATAACAACAAATAAAGAATAAACAGGAAAAACAAAATAAAAAGTACTTACCTAGGTCTATTTCTTTTTTGCTATCAACTGTTGATGAAACTTAACCCTACTTTTTTATACTAATTGTACTAGTTTACTAAATAATGTTTTATTTAATAAATAATGCACCTTAAAACACAGAATAATAACATGTAAAAAGTGGAGAATGTCCTGTAACCATCATAATTTTTCTGGCTTCTAACTATGTGATAAGGGCCATTAAAAATTCAGCTAAGCATGTTGTTGTGTTTCCCGGGAATACAGTTTAAACAGAAAACAACATAATATGAAATGTAATTTGAAAGAATGAAACCTTGGCTTTCTATTTTTTTATAAATAATACAGTATTATACATCAGAGAGAACTATTGGCAGTTTGTGAAAGAGAGAATGAGACAAGTTGACATGGCGAGTGGGGTATAATTTTCTATTTTATGGCTCTGTAACCAATTAAGATTAAAAGGTATAAAAATTATACTTTGCCTGAGTAATAACAATATTATAATGAATAATTTATGTTAAATTTTGTACTTCTTACGGTAAATAAATTAGAGAAGAGGGAATACCTAGAGAGCAAATGTCACAATTCTTATACTAGGGGAAATTGAGGATTTTTTTAAATATTGCTTTATAAAATTAAAAACTTGAATCTTATATGATATTACAAGTTGAATTATTAGCTATATTTTGATATCAAGTGTATTTGTATACCATGATAATAAAATAGTTTAATTTTGAATGTAACTCAGTAAAACCTCATGACATGTGCAGAAAAGGATGCCCATATGAAGAGTTACACAGTGTAATCATGTAGAAATCCATAGATGCTGTGTCAGGCAACTTGACCAGTATGTCTTTGTAAGGAATAATATGACTACTCATTTCATTCTCCAGCTGCTTGAAGTGTGGAATGGTGGTTAAACAAAAGGTATGACTGGAAGCCTTATGTTGGTGAACCCATACTCTGTGGTTCATTTCCAGATGGAAATTCTTCTTGATTAAGCTTGTGGAACCTTGCCTATTATATAACATCACAATTTATGTAACCACAGCTAGGGTACATCGTGTTACAGGTTTCTTTCTGAATGGTTCTAATGTATTAAATTGATTCATATTCCTTTGTCTTCCAATGCCAGTATATGACAACAATCACAAAATTTAAAAATTCACTATGTTGTCTTGGTAATATACCTAATGCACTTCTGTATTTGAAATGTATTTAGACAGATATGGTCATTGGTCAATAGACAAATATTATAAGATATAATACACATTTTTACTTCAGTAAAAACTTAATGCTTCAATAGATAAATATATAGATAAATATTTCAGATTTGATGTTTAAGACTTATAATTGGTTATTTAATATCGTAACAAAAATTGAATACAGGAATTTTTAAAATTCCTAAAAACCTTTTATTGTCACAAGTTTTTGGCTAGCACTGCCATGACCATCATCAGGTTTAGCATTATTATTATTATTTATAATTCAAGATAAAAAATGTTACATAAAAACCAGTTAAGTGACAAGAGGAATATTAAGAAATGATACCTGCAGTCAAATGTGATTTAGTTGAGTATGTAGTCTGTGTATTACACAAGCATTGTAGGAGATCCTAGAACATTTTAACAACACTTTTAAAACCAGTGTTTTCAGAATAAATATTTTAATTGATATTAACATAATTAACATTGTATTGTTTCTAAATAAGTGTACATAACATTTAAAAATGAGAACTCTGAAGAATTCAGTAAGCAGGGCTGCATGTAAGTTGCACCGTAATGACTAAGGTTTGCAAAGAACAGTCAATAAGTAAGTACGGTACTAATATATTATATTGAACCAAAGTGTTTGAATATTGTGACATCCACAGTCACTCTTATTTCCAGTTTATGGACCATTTCATTATCTTCATTACTTCCTTATAATGTCTGTTGTTAATTTTGGTCTTGTGTAACAGGACCCATGATTCAACACATTTAGTTTTTTCATAACCATGTGTAATTTGTTGTTTTAATGTGCATCCTATTTCCTCTGCATGATTCTTTATTAGTGATTTTTATTTTTGAGGTATCAGTACAAATTTAGGTTGAAATGTTACATACTACCCATATTTGTTGAGGGTTCACCAGATTTTTCTCTTCGTGTATATAGTAAAGGTATGTGGTTCTTGGAGGATTGTTCTGTGTTAAGGTTTTAACTTGTTTGTTATTAGGTTTTATTGCATATTTGATGAGGTGTTTAGGATTGCCATTAACTTAAAAGGTTTTTTTAAGACATTATATACATTTTTGTCGTGTTTGCTGATCTTTGAAGGTTTGTTGGTTCATATATACTGGAGCTAATTATGAGTCTGTTTAAATCTAGAAACAGATGTTAACCTGTTCAGTCAATTGAATTGACAGGTACTTAAAATGTTTAAGAATTATTTTTTTATTTGCAAAAGTACCATTTATATAATGAATAATAAACTTCAATTGTTTTTTTTTGTCTGAGGACTTTGCTGTTGTAATTTTTGTATTTTTAAATAGTTATGTTTGAAACAGATGATTTTTTTATATATGAAAAGGAAATACTTGCTTATATTTCATTACACAAGTATTGGATGAAGTGTGATAATACTGTATTAGAATAACTGAAATATTACCCTTAAAATAAAGTAGTTCCATAAAACAAAAAAACACAAATTACCACTTAACAATGCAGTAATAAGATTTTTTACCCATAAGATTAAAAAGTATTGTGTTCTTCTGAATAGTCTCTTAACTACAAAATAACCAAAATCCATAAACAATTTTAACAGCAGAAATTGCTTTGGTCTGAAAAACATTTTAACAAGTATGCATGTGTATACACTTTTTTTCCTGTATACTAGAATAACAAAACCATCTTTCAATACTTACTGTGCAATTAAACCAAAGTATTTACAGTGATATTATGTTTTGTAATTAATATATATTTATTCTTGTGCTAATATTTCAGCATCTATGGTGAACTCGTATAGTTTTGGTATAGACAGAGTGATTGACTGTGGAGATCTTTATGGATGTCCAGTTTTGTATGGTGACCTGCAGGTATGAACAAGAACTATTTATAGAAATTAATTACTGGAATCTTCATTTGACTGACTATTTTTTGTATTTATTTACTTGTTTTTTATTAAACATATTTTGGAATTGAGTAATAATGTAAGGTTTCTCTGTTGAACTGTTCTTTATAAAACAGTTATGTTATATCAGATCATCCCATAATATTAACCAGTATGCTGAAAGTTGTTATGCCTGCACTTGTTATGCTAATTTTAATTATAATCATGGGAATTTACAAAGTTAGAGGATTTTTTAAAATATTTTTCAGATTTTGTAAAATAATTCTGAAGGGTATAACTTGTGAAGCACTTGGTATATGACAATGATTTTAAGGACTAACTACAGCTATTTAAAAAATGTATTATATGTATTGAAATAAACTATCAAAATATCAGTATCCAGGTTGTTTTTTTCACTAGTTCACCATGTGAATGAATGTACAAAAATATTTCTTATGGACGTGCATGTGAGAACGAACAAAGGTTACCGTTAGTCTATCGTTGTAATATGGATTTGTATACATAATTGGTGTGAAACTAATTTATGATATAATTTCACAAATACAATGAAAAGAATATCTCTTAATCTTTTCTTTTCATATTATGAAATATAAATTTTTAAGAAGTGTAGAAAATAAAGTCATGAAATACCTAATATTAAAAGGTATTTCATGACTTTATTATTCATGACTGAAGTATTGCATTTTATTGACTTTCTTTTGTGATAACGTTAGTGGTTTTGAATGATAACATGTATTTTTTAACTTAATACAGTAAAGCTTTTACAGCTTTATAACCCTTTCCAGACTAGTCACGGGTGAAAGGCCATGTCATCTTGTTTGTTGACTCGCATTCAAAATTTTATTGAACTACTAGTTCATGAACTTATGTCAATAAGTTTGGTATCTAACTGTAAATTATAATTCAGATATTAGTACTATATATTACTCAATTTCTTAATTTAAAAGCAAATATTAAAAAAACAGATAAACATTGATTTTTTGTGTCACGTGGTATGTTGAATACAGCACTGGTTAAAAATAATGTTTGTGAAGTCAAAATACTAAGTCTGTAGTTTCAAACGAATTAGAAATTCAAATTACAGATATTGACAAGCTAGAATACAAACTAAGAGCGTTTTATCTTTTTTGTTAAGATATTGCTCATGTAATAAATCAAACACAGTGGTACCACACCCACCTCTTTCAATTTTTGGAAACACTCCCTTATATACACTTACATCTGTATATGACTTGAATAGCCAACTGGAAGCTCAGTATTTCCCCCTAGAGGCTTTCTCAACCATTTTAATGGACTTGGTGCCAATTCTTTCTTTTCAACCAATATTTCAATGAGGTAGGGTGTGTATTTGGTCTGCTTGAAATTTCACATTTTTTTAAACTCAAATACATCTTAGTTACTAAGCTTGATAAATTATAGTGGAATTCTATGGTATTAATGTAGTAATTTATGATTTTTTAGTCCTTCAAATGTAAATATAAAACCTAAAAAAATATTTTGTTTCATATCTTCCACGTGCAAAATTTTTAAAGGCTTACGTAAAGCAGCAACTGAGTACAAAGGTCATAACTATAAGAGATAATTGTTTGCTTTATTTCTTTATCTACTGTTCTGTGTTTAGGAAAAATATGTTTAAGAACTTATTTCAAAGTAGCAATAATCTATATACATATATAATGTATAATAATTGAAATGTGACTGTATTTTATAAAATACTAGTCTACTAAAACACAGCCAAGACAAGTTACTTTGCACAGATCAAAGGTCAGTTTTATGTTATTTGATATGGCAACATGAGTGCACATGAGCCGCATCATTGTAACTTCTGTATTGTTAGCCAGGCATGGCTGAAAGTCAATATAATAAAAATATAATGTTATGAGATTTAAGCTATTTTATCTAAACATTTATGTTTTCGTGTTATAATTTGTGTTCATTCTAGAATGAAAGAGGCATAATTTATATTTATTTCTTTTTTTTTTTATGGTGGTTTTTTTTGTTTAATGTACCGAACCCATACAGAGATTAATTATTGAAAATAACAGATAAAATATGAAGTGTTTTCTTAAGAAACGTTTGATAACTATCTCAACATTATAAAGATTTCGCATGTGAAGTTTCAAAATTTTTCTGATGCATAAAAGTATTTTTAATCTTAAAATGAATATTATTTTGCATGATAGATAGGCAATATGTGAAAATAAAAAATAAACATGAGAAAAACATTGCTTTATAAGACTTAATAAGAAAAATTGATATCTTGCATATGAAAGCGTTGTAATGTTTACTAATAATCTGCCAAATTTTGTTAACATTCGCATACTAATTTAAAAGTTATAGCATGAAAACTATAACAAGCACAAAATGGTTACGAGGTTGGTCCCAGGGACCAAGCCCGTGCTGAAAGAGTTAAAGGGATTGGTGCAGTGTTGAAGAAAATGTTATTTTGATATGCTTCCTTGCAATCTTATACATCAGTTTGGGGTCAGTGATAATTGTAGCAATTATGTATTAGTGAGATATTTATGTGCTAGAGAATAATGCATTCAAAGTATTTTAAATTGTTTAGCCCTTTTAACCCTTTGTGTATGAATAGAGGTGAAAGTGCACATTTCATGTCCTTTTACAGTGTTACATTCAAAATTGAATTAACAACTTTATCATCAATGCATGTGCATAAGTTTGGTATCAAAATGTAGTTTATAACTCAAATTTTAATATTTTGTAATTTTTGATTTCTTAGTTTCAAATGGAAATATTTAAATAAACTTATAATCTTCAATTCTCTGTATCTCATGATACTTATCAACTCCAAATTGCCCTTTTAGTTTTTCTTTCAACCCCTATGTGATTGTCTAAGTCTTCCATGAAACACGCACTTATACTATTGATATTCCCAAGGTAAAATTTAAATTTCTGGCCTCTTAAGCTATTTGCTTTACTAAGAAATATTAAATAAAATGAAACTCGCATGCCATGCCCCTCCTATCATGTCCTGTCTTTCAAAAATTGTCAGTAATTCTGGCATTTGCTGTTGGATTATTATGGCTAATAAAAAGAAAATATTTTAATTTACTGAATTTCAACCAAGCTGGAATCATTCAGCCAACAAAACTCTCAAAGATTTGGCCTCAGTTTTTCTGTACCCATTGTCTAAGTTCAGCTTGATCAGCTAATGAGTTTTTTTGACCCAGTTATAACTTAGTTAAAAAGCCAGTTAAATTATAGAAGTTTGAGGACATTCTGTTTCTTGTGTTCATCAATATTTTGTATTCTAAATTGCATACTTGAACTTAAAAAGAATAATGTTATGTACTACCAATATCTCTACCAAAAAGTAGGACTAATTGAATGGGAACATTGATGGATCAAGTGCCTACAAATGTGAACTGGACCCTCATTGTGTTAATTGTGGTGGTTCCCACCCCTCTTACTATCTTCTTGCTTTAAATGGGTGGAGGAGAAAGAGGTACGGCATTTAAAAACTGTTAGCAATGTTTCTTACGCTGAGGCTCGGAAGTTATTGTCTCTTACTCCATCTCAGACGTATGCCGTTGCACTATGCTCCCTGCTACAGTGAGAGTGCAGATGGACCTTTCTGAGCCTCCTTCAGAGTCTTTATCACACCATTTGAAGAGTCTTATGCCCTCTGTGGATAAAAGAGATGATAAAGTCAATGTATACTTCTATCTCTGTCCTCACCATTGCTTCCGGTGACTGCTCAGATCCATCTCCTTTGGCCCGGGCTTCCAGTGTCAGCTTGGGTCCATCTTCTTTGGCCCAGTGCTGCAGAATGATTATTCATTCACACCCTCAATCACTGGAATCTACTTCTACTGACAGAGATCTACCCAATCGACCCAGGGCAGGATCCATGGAGGTTGACAGACCTTCTTCTAGTAAAGAAAAATGCCCTAGTCGTAAACAGAAGGGTTCTCCACCTAAATAAAAATGGCAGCTTTGATACAATGGAACTTTCAAGGTTTTCATTCTAATCTAAATTACATTAACGCCTTGATCGATTCCTATCATCCTGTGTGTCTACTTACAGGAAACTTTCCTGAAACCTGCCGATACTGTCACCTTTTAGCAGTTTTCTTTATACTGGAATGATAGGTTGAGTGCATGGAGGAGTGACACTGCTGGTTGACCAGCACATGCTCACCTTCTCTGTGCCACTCAATACACCCTTGGATGCTATAGCCAGTTGTGTTTCCTTGGGTCGTACCATCACTGTTTGTTCCCTCTATCTGTTTCCCGGAGAGAAATCAGATCTTGATGCTCTTATTAAACAGTTGCTATCCTCCTTTTTCATCTTAGGAGAATTTAATGGACACAATCCCCTCTGAGGTGGTGCTGATATGGATGGGAGGGGTCATACATAGGAAACACAAATAGGGATCACAACCTGTTTCTCTTTAATACTGGTTCTTTTACATATTTTCATGCACCTAGTTAGTCTTTTACTGCTATTGATTTGTCTATCTGTTCCCTTTCACTTTTCTCTTGTTTTTTGGAGGGTTAACAGTGACCCACGGGGCAGTGATCATTTTCCCATAGATTAGCCGTTGTCGATGTCACCCAACCCAAGTGCCATGATGGAAGTTGAACCAGTCCAACTGGCTCTCTTTCATCTCTGTCTCAAAACTCGATCCTTTTATCATTAGTCTACCATCTATTAATGACTGTGTGGAGGCAGTAACTGACTGTATCATTCAAACAGCTATTCGTTCTATTTTCAAAACTTCAATACATTTCCCACAGTAACCTCGTCCATGGTGGTCTCCAGCCTGCCAACAGGTGCAGAAGGCTCAGAAATGGGCCTGAGATACCTGCAAAAGGTATCCCACTCTTTCCAACCACATTGCTTTCCAGTGAGCCCATGCTCGACAGGTCAGAAATCAAAGTCAAAGGGAATTTTGGATTAAGTTCACAACTAGCATCTCTTCTACCACCAGTTACAGA